TATTTCTTTTTTTTAAAAATCATTTTATTAGGGGCTTGTACAATTCTGATCACAATCCATACATACATCCATTGTGTCAAGCACATATGTACATTTGTTGCCCTCATCATTCTCAAAACATTTGTCTTCTACTTTAGCCCTTAATATCGGCTGCTCATTTTCCCCTTCCCTTCCCACTCCCCCCTCCCTCACGAACCCTTCATAATTCATGTTATTGTTTTGTCATATGTTACACTGTCCGACGTCTTCCCCCCACCCCCACCCTCTTCTCTACTGTCCATCCCCCAGGGAGGAGGCCATACATAGATTCTTATAATCGGTTCCCCGTTTCTACCCCACATTCCCTCCACCCTCCAGGCATCGCCACTCTCACCACTGGTCCTGAAGGGATCGTCTTTCCTCGATTCCCTGTGTTTCCAGTTGCTATCTGTACCAATGTACATCCTCTGGTCCAGCCAGATTTGTAAGGTAGAATTGGGATCATGATAGTGGGGGGAGGAAGCATTAAAGAACTAGAGGAAAGTTATATGTTTCATCATTGTTACCCTGCACCCTGACTGGCTCATCTCCTCCCCACAACCCTTGAGTAAGAGGGTGTCCAGTTGCCTACCAATGGGCTTTGAGTCTCCACTCTGCACTCACTCACCTTTACAATGATATGATTTTTTGTTCTTTGATGCTTGATAACTGATCCCTTTGACAGCTCGTGGTCACACAAGCTGGTGTGCTTCTTCCATGTGGGCTTTGTTACTTCTGAGCTAGTTGGCCGCTTGTTTATCTTCAAGCCTTTAAGACCTCAGACGCTATATCTTTTGATACCTGGGCACCATCAGCTTTCTTCACCACATTTGCTTATGCACACGGTTTGTCTTCAGTGATTGTATCAGGAAGGTGGGCACCCACTGATATGATTTTTAGTTCTTTGATGTCTGATAACTGGTCCCTTCTACACCTGGTGGTCAGACAGGCTGCACACCACCTATCTTAATGACACTCAAAGTCCCCCGGCAGCTACAAGTAAATATCGCATTTGCAACATGAAGCTGGACAAAGCCAGGCAGTAGCTCTGGGGCGAGTCCCCGTGTGCTCTGGGAGTAGCATCACATCCTGTCTAACGTCAGGGCGAATAATGACCAGGATCAGCCCAAAGTTGATTCCCATGCGAAGGAGGTCAGATGCACTGCTACTTGCCAACCCTTTTTATTAATTCTGAAACCCATCTTCCCTCCCACAACACTCTACTCCTCTGCAGGATTTGAGAACTCATGGCAGACATAAAGCAGGGGCCATACTTACGAGTTCAGAGGTTTAAGGAGGGCCCCTGGTAGAAAACAGGATCAGAACCAATGGGCTACAACTCAGGATCAGGATAGGGAAGCACGCAGGCCCTGTCTGGAAGGTTCCCTGGAGGAGGAGCCCACGTCCCCGCCCTTCCTCTGGGCCAGGCGTCTCTCTCACCTCCCTTTGGCCTTACAAGTAAGCAGACCTTTCTCCCTGCTGTGCCGGTGCCCTCTTGGCTCCCTCGTGATAAGCCTGCCTTCAGCATCCCTGCCAGTCTCCATACTGGCGACAGAGCCAGCTGAGAGCCTGTGTGGCCGTTTTGCTATCGCTCTTAGCTGCATTCCTCCTCCTGGTAACACTCTTCTGCCTTGGCTAGCAGCTCCGCCACAGGGCCCCTTCCAGGGCGGTCACCACTGGCTCTGCCTCAGACTGCCTCGGCATGGTAGCCATCGACCGGCGGGGCAGTTCTTTTAGAAGGTCCCTTTCTCTGCTTCTTTTCTCTTCTCGCCTTTCACGCTCTCTTCTCTCTGCAGCTTTCTTCCTTGTCTGCCAGGCAAACCCTTGGACATTGGCTACATGGAGAAGCAAACTCACTTTAAAGGCTTGATCCTCCCACTAGGACCACAAACTAACCAATCTCTGGTGGGCACATGGACCAACCTCTGCAAGGTGTGTACAACAGACCAATCACAGCACCAATCACAGTCCAGGCGGAGGCAAAGAAAGGAGCAGAACCAATTTACCCAGGAAGATAATCAATCAACCCAGACAAAAGGAACAAAACCCTCTGGAGTGAAAAACTGGGGCAAAGGGGACTCCTCAAGGCTTAGGGAGGGAACTCCCTCTGAAGCTGTTTTTCTTTTCAAACAAAGGCAAGGCAAAAGGGCTCCTAAGGAATCTCATTCCACCACACCCTCTAGCCTGTCCCATGAATGACACCCAGAGTATGACCTGGAGTCATGGAGGGAGGAAGAAGGGGCCCCCAAAGCAGCCGCACGGTCTGCCACTGAGTTGTGAGAAAGCACAGGAAAGCCCACCCGCCCTCCCCAACGTTTCAGGCTTTACAAACTCTGAGTGCAAGGAGTGAGCCCTCCAATACAGCCGCTGAGTCTTACCTTGACGTCTCGTGACCTGTCACTCCTGAAACCCACACGAGGCACCATTAACTCCTCATGTCCCAGCTGTGCAGTACCTGGAGTCACCCTGGAATAGGAATCAGAAGCATGGGTTCCACTTGGAGCCTTGTCAATTTATAAGGTGACTTTGGGCAAGTCAGTTTATTGTTCTGAGCCCAGGTTTCTCCCTCTGTAAATTAAAACTATGCTTCCCCCTTCCCTTCCCTTCCTTTCCTTTCCCATACCTTACCTGGAAGGAGCCCTGGTTACATGTTGGGCTGTGATCTGCATGGTCAGCAGTTCGAATCCACCAGCGGCTCTGCCTGAGAAACACTGGGCTTTCTACTCCCTTAAACAGTTTCAGTCTCGTCAACCCAGCATTGACTCCAGTGGCAGTGATTAGCTTACCTGTCTGGGTTGCACTTAGAATCAAGTGAGAAAAATATATAGGAACCTGGTTTGAAAAATTACAAAGGTACACATAAACATACGATGTTAATAATCAGATTCGCTTATTATTATTAACAACAGAAGCAGCGTGCATAAAATCCACCATGTTTATATTTATGAGTAAATAATTAAGAACGGTGGTGGTTAGTAGTCAGACACTAAATGGCGAAAAAATTATTACTCTCCTCTTGCCAATCAAGTTTTGAGGGCAGGTAAATATAGTCATCAAGCCGACACTGACCTTGCAGGCAGAAAGAAGTGAGTTCAAATTCCAATTCTGGCACCAGCACCATGAGTCTGGTCAAATCTTTCATCTCTCAGGGCCTCAGTTTGCTCCCACATATAGATACAGAGAGGATTATCAACGTGCTGGGAGGACTGCATGAAATCACACCTGCACACACTATTTGACACAGTGCGCAGCACATAGTCAGCGCACAAACACTAGCTTAAAAAAGCAGCGTCGGCAGTTGGTTGAGCCCTTGCCTTGTGTCAGGTAGCACGTGGGATGCAAAAGGAAAAGATGTGGTCCTTGCTCCCAAGCAGCCAACAGTCCGCTAGGGAAACACATGCAAATGAACATACAAATGCCCAAAGAAGAAAATGAACATGTCCATCTCCTTGAGAGAGCCACAGAAACCTTCTTGGAGGAGGAAACATCCGATTCAAGACTTACAGTTGGTGTGGAGAGGTGGGAAAAGAAGGCATGCTTTTCATTTGGCCCTATCATTTGCCCACGGGGATTTGATCACTTGAAAAGCCTAGGTTCAAGGTTATGCTGGTTGGCTGCATGGTGATTCCAGCAGAACATTCTGGTGACTTCCCTGAGCCTGGTGCTGGAAATGGATCTGACTTGTTAGTCTCGGTACATGAAGCATCTGCTTTGTTTTCCTGTCATAAAGATTCCCTAGAGCTGTGCAAACAACTCTTTGTATCAGGGAGAAACCGCTTACACGTGGTGGCATCCTTGGCTCATTCGGGATGGGTGGGGGGCGGATAATTTTCCAGCGGGACGTGTCACCTCTTGTCCCACTCAAGCAACAGCTGGAGATGACCAGGATATAGGGGTGAAAAACAGAAAGGGGGATGTGCAAGTATTTCTTCTTCTGGAAAAATAGACAGTGGACAGGTAGCTGTCCTCCGTCCATGGGCAAATATAAAATTACAGACACAGTTCTATCTGCCAGGTATCAATTCCAAGTGTCCTTCTCGGTTCATCAAAGACGAGGGTGGTGCAAAATGTTCACGGAAAAATATGGAAAGGAAAGATCGGGGCTTTTCCCCAGGCACTTTTCGGGGCCCTCTTGTGTGCTAGCAATAAATTGGGGTGGTCGGGACACGGTCCTAAGGGGATGAAGTGTCAGACTTCTCTTTGGGCTAGTGTGTTGAAGCTGACTCCTGTGACCTCCTGTGCTCTCTGAGGGTTTTCATTGGCTGATTCGTCCAGAGTGGATCACCACGCCTTTCGACTGAAGTGTCTCTGAATGGGCTCAAATGTCCAACTTTTCAATGAGCAGCTGTGTGTGTTACACATTTGTTACCACCCAGGGACTCTTCTGCTTCCTTACTGTGAGCTCAATCCCTCATTCGCTTACTGGAAATTTTAACAACATCAAACCAAAAAGGACCACAACCTCAGCAGGACAAATCAGGTGCCGTGGGCATAGGTCTCCACTCACAGGAAGATATTAAAACCCACATGCACGCTCTCGTTCCACCTCGGCGACAGCCGTAGTAAAGCAATTTAATTGGCGTCTAAGAGAAATCATGTTACCTTGTTAAAATCATGGAAGGAATCATTAAGTCCGCAGAACTGGATGAGCCTTAGAGAATTTGTAATCCAGCCTCCCTGTTTCACCAGGAGGAGACAGGGACCCCGAGGGAGGAGGGACTCTGAGCCCAGAGTCCTCCCAGGGGATTTTGTGAGCGGGTTTTTGTGAAAGGTGGCCATCTGAGGAGACCCAGTTACCAAAACGAAGACTCCCCGCCATCCAGTCAAGGAAGACATAGGTGCCTTTCATTTCCGCCTCATCTTGGTGAGCAGCTCTGAGGAATGGAGCGACCAAGGCCAAGGAAAATGCTGGCAGTCTCAGGAAGGTGAGAGGCCTGGCAGTTGAAGCACCCCACAGCTCCTGCCCTTGGCCAGGAGCGAAAATGGGAAGGGTCCAATCCAGTCTGGGGCACCTGGCCGAGAACATGTAAATAAGGGAGACTGTGGAGTATCTCACGCGAAAGCCAAGAGGCGTGGGTGAGTGGTGAGTGCCCTGAGCACCAAATGCCCGCAGGCCTGACCTGCCACCTCAGTGGTGGAGGGATGGAGACAGGCACCGCAGGACACCAAGGCAGGAGTTAGTCTTTTCTTCCCTCCCCAGTTGGCAGAACGTGGAAAAGGCATCCTTGGTCTGCAGCCCATTTTCCTGGTTCTCCTTCTGGACCCTAGAGTGATGGATTAGGAGATGGGCCAGGTGCCCACCAGCCCACCTGCCCACACTCTCTCCTCTCGGCACGGAGAGATGCCCACCGCACCTCTACTAGCCATTACCCCCATTCCGGGGGCAGGCCCTACCTGGGTGGTAGCTCCCCCCTGCCCTGTAAAGCCTGGCTTTCTCGGCACCCCTCACCCCATCCCACTGCCAACCCCCTGGCTGGCGGAGGAGAGGTCAGGGAGCGGCTGCGGGGGCACTGCATCTGCCGGGCGGGTCCGCGGGGGAGGGGGTGTCGTCCCCGGTGACGGAACA